CCCTCCGCTACGTGCCCACAAGTACAAGAAGGAAGAAAGAAAATACCCACAAAGAGCCACTCTATCTCTCTCTCTCTCTCTCTCTCTCTCTCTACACGATCTGCAAAGATCATTTTATTTTTTATTCATGTCAAGCTTTTTTATACATTGACGCTTCCTTGATCTTTTTAAAGTTTTAGAAACCAGATCTTGATTTGCATTAGAACTCCACATCTTGTTGGTTTAGGAGAGAAATAGGGTCCATCAAGGATTGCTGAGTCCGACACATATCCCCTGATGTAAGGGGTAAGATGACAAAGAAATTTAATAAGTAAATAAAAGAATAGGAGAGCTGACAATTCCAAGGTCTCTTGAACCACAATTTCTTACCTCATAATCCCAATCCAATTCGGCAGTTCAAAGTTGGATTGGCCATTCCTAGTCAATTCTCCATATCTTTCATGGGAAATATAGCATGGTATGACTCAGAATTGTCGGAGGTTTCAGGGTTTAGGGTTTAGGTTGGATCAAAGCCTATTTGGAGTTTGATTGTAATTTTTGAGACACTGATATATAGGAAGGTGACCACGGAAAAATTTAAAAAGGATGAGTATTGTCTCATGGCCTCTAATAACCTTTTTGAGACAGTGGTTCAGAGGAAGGTGACAAAAGGGTAGAATTGGAAGATGTCTCATAGTCTCCACTCAATTTAGGACAATATACTAGTGTTTGAAAAGTCGACCTCAGGTTTGACTTGTTAGGGGCTTTGAAGCCGAGTTTCTTAGACTCGCACGAGTGTGAGTCAACCTAGAAAATTTTAACATAAAAAGTTTGAAGTTTTATAAAAAGAAAAACAAGAGGTGGAGGCAATTTTGAGTTTTGGCCCAAAATCGTTGGCTACTAGTTTGATCCGACCCCAACGATTCCTAAGTCAAATTGGCAATTTTTCTAGCATTGCAATGTACCTTGGAGGTTCCCAAGTCATCCCAAAGTCGAAGGATCACTGCAGAGTACCACATATTAATCCTATTTCTAAAAATTAAACAAAAAAAACTCATATTAATCCTATTTCTAAAAATTAACCATAATAAACAAAAATAAAAGTCTACCCATATCTCTACAACTAAAATTAAAAAAAAATTAAATTTAAATTTTGTAGCAACCAGATCTTGATCTGCATCAGAACTCCACACCTTGTTGGTTTAGAAGAGGAATAGGGTCCATGAAGGACTTGATGTGGTCATCAATGGCAGGAAAACTAGGATTGTCTCCATGCTGATATATAACTTGAGCCATTCTTGAAAGATTCAATGCTGCTTTAGAGAATGACTTGGAGAAAGGAGATGATTGGAAGTAGTGGCAATTAAGCTCCTTCCAAGTATCACTAATGCAACTTCTTATATTCTCTCGAGCTTGATCATCCGTACATTTACCGTTGTTTCTCATGTAATATTCAATGCTTGAAGAAACATCTCCTCTTTCTTTTTCATCCTAAAAAGGCCATATATTGGGTGAGTATATGATCTAGTTGAGGTGTGAATTGCATTTTAAGAAACAAAAATACAATAGAGGGAAAATAAATTGTGTTTCACTTCATTATTATTAATATTAGTGATTTAAAAAATTGGAATTTGGGACCGAATCAGTCCCTAAAAACGCAAGTTAGATAGTTGAGTCCGATACATATCGCCTTATTTTTGGGGCAAGATGACAAATAAATTTAATAAATAAATTGAGAAATAGGAGAGTTCTCAATTCCAAAGTTCTTCGAAATAGAATCGCCTACCTCATAATCCCGATCCAACTCGGCAGTTCACAGTTGGATTTGGCCATTCCAAGTCAATTCTCTCGAATCACCTATTTTTCAGTATTCTTAGGTATCTTTCATGAGAAATATAGCATGGTGTGACTCAGAATCGTAAGAGGGTTCAAGGTTTAGGATTCAGGCGGGATCATACCCTATTCGGAGTTGAGACACTGGTTTGATTCAGAGTTGAGACACTGGTTTGGAGGAAGGTGACCAAGGAAAAATTTTAAAAGGATGAGTATGGTCTCATGGCCTCTAGTCAACTTTTTGAGACAGTGATTTGGAGGAAGGTGACAAGGTTAGAATTGGAAGATGTGTCTCCACTCAATTTAGGACAATATATCAGTGTTTGAATAGTTGACTCAGACTTTGACTTGTTAGGGAACTTGAAGCCAAGTTCCTCATACTCGCTCAATATATATATATATATATATATAATAAAAAATAAAAATAAAAAAAACCAAGAGACTGGGGCAATTCTGGGTTTTGGCCTAGAATTGTTGGATCCTAGTTTGATCCGACCCCAACGATTCCTGAGTCAAATTGGTAATTTTTACAGCATTGCAATGTACCTTCGAAGTTCCCAAGTCATCCCAAAGTCGAAGGATCACTGCAGAGCACCAAACTATGTTTGGATTTTGATCAATTGTTTCGTTACTTTCCCTTGTCACTTTGTCTCCCATCAAGCAAAGGCTGTGAAACAAAGCCATATATGTCCCTCCTGTAATGGCTGAAGTCCTCAGGTACTCATCTAGGGTTGGAACATAGCCTCTTCTGACCCATTGTGCTTCCACAAGATATGCATGGCATAGATCTGACCACTACACATGCGCCACATCGTTAGATACATGCTTTTGGCTATTTACAAGGAAATTTTAAATTCATAATTAGGGTTAAATATAGACTTTCAAGCTATCGAAAAGCCTTCGACGTTGGAACTACATCTTTTGGCAAAATATACAAGTGCGCCATAATTGTATAGTATAAGGTGGGCACCATATACAAACCTCAGCCTTTGATTCATGAGTAAAAGAGGTGATAGTAAAAAATGAATTGAGTCCTTACCCTTTTCTTCAAGTGCATGACAACATTCCGTCCATAGTCATTCAAAATTTCAATTGCCATTTGGTTAATGGTGTTGTACAAAGCCAAGTAACATATCTTCATGTACTCTGGAAGCTCCTCCATGGCAGAAAGATCCCATCTGCATGAGCAAAACAAGAAATGAAATTTGCTTTATGTGATTTTTCTATTTGCAAAGGTGATACTGCTTTTTCCTTCTACTTATTGCAGTGGCAATGAGAGGGATTCACAAACTTGAACCTTTGGACTGCATTTGTGAAGATTTCTAACTCCTCCAAAGAACCATATATGTCATAGATATCATCAATGACTGACAAGAGGGCTATGGTTTTTGTCAATTCCATTCTGCACTTTGAAAAAGAGGGCTCAGAAAAGATCCCCACCGTCCAAAAGTAACACTCTAGGGGACGATCTCTGGCAAAAGTAAGCTGCTTGGTGAGTCCAAGTTCTCGCCACCACCTATGCAAAGAATACAAACGCATAATTAACAGAGAATGAGCTCTACACATAGAGGGTTAGGGTGGAGGGTACCACAACATGATGTCTAGAGTTTTTCTCCTTAAAACCCAAGACACCTTTAAGGGGGGGAGTCATTATATTTATCTAAAATCTTACTAGTTATCATACATGTGTTGATTATTAGGAGAAGTATACAAATAGACACTTTACTTTTAATGCGAGGAGGTCATAATCACTCTTGTCCATTAGATTTCAAATCAGGTGGTTTTGTCATTGATTAGACTCAAAATTCAGAGAAAAAAAAAAATTCTCGAGGTTTGTGGTACATCCCAGACAATCCAATTTGACATCTAATAGCTAATAGTAATTATGACTTTGTGACATCTAATAACTAATAATAAATGTGACTTGGTAACAAAGACAAATAATCTCATAGTATACAATTCATAAATACATTAGTATATAGTTATCTTTGCCTGCTTGTGTGGCAATTACCAAGTAGTAAATCATTGAAGCAGACTCAACAAATGTGGGACTCAGTGGGCTAGTGGAAAGCAACCTAATGGTGAAACAAATCGGTGTTTGAAGAATCTTAGACAGGCTCGGATAGAAAACATAGAATCTTAGACATGTATAATGAGAGCCTAATATTGAAAATGATGCCCTTGCTAAGGAAGGCATATTAAAGCTTTTGCCTAATGTAACAAGTTTTTTGAAGTCTTTTATGTTCGCTAGGAAACTTATTTTTATACAGATTCACTTGTTTTATACAGATTCACTTGAACATGGTGGTCAGCGTGGCAAACCCACAATATAACACCAAGAGTTCCAATTCTTCCCTGTTAATGTATCTATGTGTATCTAGAACCCAACCAAAGCTGAACTGATCCAACCAAGTCAGGTCCGTATTGGATGCAGTCTTGGTTGGATCCTGACATGAACCCAAGATGATGGGTTGATATGGCCCGATTGCCACCCCTATTTGTGCAGTATAGAGGCTCACCTCAGTATGTCATTGATCTCTCTTTGGTACAATAATTGTACCATGTTGAAGTCCAACTTGGCAAGCTCCAACAAAACTTTGTTGTTGTCCTTGCACCTCTCATATGCCATGATGTTGTCCTTCACCATCAATCTATTCACCCTTCTATGCAAAGGAAGTTCTAGGGCACTCCTTATTTCTCTTGCAAGGTTTGGCTCCAAGTCCTCCATCACACCTTTAAGATGCTTGCTAGTGAAGTCCAGAGCTTCATTTAATATATCTTCTCTTGGTGTACCAAGGTGTGAAGCTTCATATAAGCACAACATTCCCCTCACATCTTCAATCAGACATGGATTGAATTTCCCTTCCTTGAGAGTGAATTTCTTGAAATTATCTGGATTAGAAACAAAAGTTAGAACTAGCAATTGAAAAATTGTAATCATTGCACAAGTTGGACCGGATTGGGAAGCCGGCGATTTTGGGTGGAAAAACTCAGGAATCAACTGAGTCTCCTAATTTTTGAATTGTTTTTAATTTTTCTTGTTTAAAATTCTTAGTCCAACTCAGAACTCGCCCAAATCAGATTGCAAAGACTAGGGCTTGGATCCCTAGTAAACTGGAGCCCCAATCCAATTTTATAAACAATGGTTAGATCGTTCCTTGCAAAGAATGTTTGATGATGGATTTCTTGGTAGGTAGCAAGTGTCCTTTTTTGTCTGTAATTTAGTGGGGAAGACAGGCTTCTACCCATTTTTTCAAGTAGATTAGGGGTTAGCTTCTTTAAAGTTTTTATAGTCAAAATAACAACCACAAAGCGGTGACTTAGGTGTGGACGTGCTACCACTACGACCCCAACCCTTTTCCCTAGGTAGCAAGTGTCTATGTAGGAATTCCTTCACGTATTGAAAATAATAATTAGATTGATGGTGTCCATATATTTCCAACACGTTGAGAGAGAGAACCATTAGAAAAGAAAAGACCTAATAGATAGATTGTGAATGTATTTCCAAAATCGATAGATGGCATCGATTCATTTCCAACAAGTTGAAAGAGAACCCCTAAAGAAAATAATACCTAAATAGATAGTTGGTATCAATATATTTTCTACAAGTTATTACAGAGAGGGAGAGAGAGAGAGTAGGGGTGAAAATAGGTCGGGTCGGGTCTAGGGTTGGACCGATCTAGACTTGGATTTGAAAAAAATTTATGAGACCCAAACCCGAAGTTATCGGATCAAGACCTGGATCCGACCCAAAAATAACAAAATATATACATCCAAATATTATGTATATATATATCTAATTTAAATATTATAATTAAAAAAATAATTATATTTATTGAAATATCATTAGAATATTATATATTAAATACTAGTGTTCGGGTCCAATATTAGGACTTGGACACAACCCGTTGGGTCCAAATTATAGATCCATACCCGGACTTGAGTTAGCTCCGACGTCAGGTCCGGGTCCATTGCCACCCCTAAGAGAGAGGGACAGTCTACTAACCTGAGGACACATTGTATCCTTCTTGTCTTAGAAGTCGAAACCGGAGGGACACCGAAGACAAATCATCGTAACCGTCGTTTCTCTGATAGATGAGATCTAAAGCGTGTTCTATCTCTCTCTCAAAGTTGTGTGCTAATCCTAGATGTTGCAATAAGTCCATGAGATTAAGGATCCTTTCTCCACCATTTTCAGCCATGAGCATTCTTCTAGCTTCTTCCCTTAGTTCTTCAATTGACTTCCCATGATGTTCAACCTATTTAAAAATCACTGTAGAATGAGAAAGAAGAAGGGTCTAGATATATGTAATCCATGACATCCTAATATATAAAAGAAAAAAAATATGCATGTCAAATATGGTTACTACGAATTTTACCAAATTTATGGAAAATTTACGTAGAAGTACACTGGAATGATATTTACAACATCAGACGAGCTTTTCTTTAAAACCACCTGACACCCTTTTTTCCCCTATTTTGTCCTAGTCCGATATTCCAAATAACGGGTCGCGTTCTTATTTATTTTTAATATGTAAAGTATAGGGACCAGTTGATGTTGGAAACATCAGACCCTCTATCTCTCATAATTTTTTCAAATTAGATGGTCTGATGTTGGAGACATCGACTAAAAGTTTATTACAGTGACAAGCAACTATGGCATGGAGGTCCATTTAAGTTGTCCATAAATTTGAACTAGTCTGTAATTGCCATATTTAAATGTATGGTACAGACATAATTTTTCCTAAATAAGACATGGTTTACCTTTTAAGTTTTAGTTTACCCAGGTAACTCTTCAAAGCCAATCAAAACTCCAAAATATTTTAAAGATATAAAATTATGTGTGTTTTCTAGATTGGATTTCTAGAGGATTGAACTAGGCTAGGATTCAATACGCTATCAAACTGATCAGACTAGGGAACGGAGCTGGGGTTGTGGTGGTAGCACTCTGACTACCACGTTGTGGTTTTTATTCCCATTGACATCGTGCCACTAACACCGTTAAAAACTAACTCGTAAACTATTTGAAAAAAAATCAGGTAAGGACATGTCTTCCCCGTTGTAGTACCAAAAAACCCCATTGAAGTACCAAACAAAAAAGGCAAAAAAAAAAAAACAACAAAAACTAGCCGGCCCCATAGAATTTCAGATTTGCTTGCCAAATTAACAATACATGCCGTGTGATCATTTACAAATGGTGGATCAGAAACCTTAGAAGAGGTCTCTCTCTTGCTCATGTGAGATGACTTCATTGAGCACATGGGGCCAAGTTTTCTCCTATAGCTATGGAACCCTGAGGTTCTACCAGTCAAGCTTGTGGTAAAGATTAGATGGCATCGACCTAGTGATGCTGGGGTGGTGATGGGCAAAGCAACCATGTTTAATACCTTGAGGGAAAAGAGCTGCAAATAAGAGAGAGAGATGAAAAGATTAGGTTGTGACTTGGAGAGAGAGAGAGATTAGGGTGAAAGAGAGGTGTCTTTTTGGGGGGTTTGGGGAAGAGATATGCAGGCAAGGTGAGGGCTGGGCAGGCAAGCAAAGGGAGAGAATGAGATGTGCTAAGATGTAATCAAAGGTTAAGTATTTATAGCACAAGTGGAAGTAGGGAGAAATTTAACATACCTTAACCCCATTCCCATTTAGTAAGTCAGTGGAGATGATGAGTTCCCACCTTAACATATCTTTCAAGGGGGTTATTGGCGTCGTCTAAAATGAAGGGAGTGGCAAAACCCAGGGGACGGACCCATCAAACTGTGGCTTGAGTCATGAATGCCACCTGCTTAGCCAGGCAATCTGCAGTCAAATTCGCTTCCTAGAATAAATGCAATATTTGACAGCGTTGATTCACGAAAGAAGATATCTTTGCCTACAGTTGGACATTGATTCAAAGCCTCCATGGAAGAGAGTTGTGGTAGATGAGTGAATCAAATTAGCAAGTTGAAGTCACTTTCGCCTGCCTATTCATTTTACATAGCAACTTGGAGTCACTTTCGGGGGCTATACATCTCATCAAGTAGCATTATTGAATGCGTCAAGAACTCAATTAGCATTATTGGAGATAATCCATCTCATGCGTCAAGAACTCAAGTAGCATTATTGAATGCGTCAAGAACTTAAGTAGCATTATTGAAGATGGGCTCAAGAGGGACACCAAGGGCAAGGGCCCAAGAGGGACAACAAGGGCTAGGACAAGGGCAAGGGCCAGGGCCAGGGCCCGGACGAGGGCGGAGGTACGAGATGACATATGGAGTTCTTATGACGGACACAGATTATTAGCTGCAGACGTGTTGGCAATAAAAAAGATGACAAGACCTAATGGCACTTTCCAAGAATCCAAAAGATTATATGCTCCCATTAAGATCATATAATTCACTTTCTCCCATCAGTAAATTTGGCAATTTATGTTCCTCCCCCTAAAGGAAAAATTCTATACATTTTCTATATATGCCTTGAAACAATGTAATGCTTAAAATGGAACTAGACTGTCTAATGTTTGGACAATCAGATTTAAGCATTTAAAAACTTAAAATCGAATGTATTTTATTTTTATTTTAATAATACTTGTCCAATGAATTTAAAATGAATCACAAAATTCTGGGTTTTAGAATTGGACTCGAAGTATAGATGGTTGGGGTCAAAGTACAGGTGGTTGGGGTGGTGTTTAACACAACACTGTCTCAAATTCCATTCTTAAAATGGGCGGGGGATGCCTTCCCCACTGATCTATGAAAAAAATTCCAATTCGAACAAATTAAGGCTCTTTCACAAGGTAGTAAGTGTACAACGTGCTCCAGCCAGAATGCCGCCCTAGCTAAAGGTCTGTGTTGCATAAATTATAAACTTGATGAAATTTAGGGCCACACTTGTGGGACCATTGGAGGTGTTCAAAAAAATGCGAAGAACATATCTTCATGCTCATGGTGAGTGGCTTGAGAGTAGGGGTCGCAATGGGTTGGGTATGGGTCAGGTTTTGGACCCAGACCCAAACCTGAATGTATTTGGGTCCAGGTTTTGGACTCGGATCCAACCCGTCGGGTCCAAAAGTTGGACCCATACCCATACCCATTGGATCCTAGGTCCATCCCGTCAAGTCCGAGGTTTGGCTGGGTCCATTACCACCCTCAGTATGAGCTTCTTTGTTTTGTTTTTTTTGTTTTTCCTCTTTCTTTACCATCGTATACCCAAATTATTAGCAACAAGGTCACAACCCGCCATTAGATTTCAAGTTGTCTTATTTGTTGTTGAATAGCTAAAGATGATTATGAATTCTTATTATATAAGATCCTTAATGCACCAAAACAATTTGGGCTTGAAGTATTTTATCTTCAATAGTTTACAGATACGGGTCAGGTCCAACCGAACCCGGATTCGGACTTGAATAGCGTTCAGGTCCAAGTTTTGGACCCGAACTCAACCTGCCAGTTTCAAATTTTGGATCCATACCCAGACACATTCGGGTATACCCTGCGTGTTCCAGGTCCATTGCCACCCCTACTTGAGAGCTTGACTGGCCTTCAACGTTTTTTCAGTGTCTTTTTCCTAATTCCAAATGTCTTTTTCCTATTAAACTTTCTTAAGTGTCATTTTGTACAACTTCAATGCCTTAGAACAACATCTATGTATGAATATTTAATGGAGAAAGCCAAAAGATATTATACTATTGCTGCACTATATAATCTGTTTACTCCCTCAGGTAAAACTACATCTATGATTAATTCTAGGACCTCGAATTTTGGAGATATACCGCTTCCAATTTTGGATTGAGGGAGACATTAATTATGGATGCGATTTGTATAAGGCTTAGGCTTTATGAAATCAAAATCAAGTCTTACCTCAAATCTTCATGCATGGAAATCTCCATGATGGCTCAAAAATCAATTTTCAATACTTACAATGCAATTCAAAACTAACAAAATGGTATAATATTGCGGATCTATAAACACTTATTTTTATGGAGAAATAGACGGTCTAGATAATTTTTTACAATAATTGTAGTTTTAGAGCTTGAAATCTTTCTTCTTCTTTTTTTCTACAGTTCAAACTAAGATGATCAATGTAAAGGTTTTTTAATACTTGAATTGCAATTTTCGATAAGTTATAAAGTGAGGCTTTACTTATTTTGATTCGGCTATCAAACCATTTTCCATTAACTATACTAGTCGATTTTATGTGCGTTGCACGTAACAATTTCAATATTGCGACTCTATTCATATAATGTCTATAACTTCAAACATCCATCACTATTTTTATCTCCTAGTAAATTAAGTAAAAGAAATATCATAGTTAATATTATCTACATGAAACCATGAAACAATAAAAAGTGTCAATATTATTACGATAAAAGAGACACAATAAGTAATATATTAAATAAGGGAAAAGATGGGATTAGCCCACTAGCTGATATGAACATATGAACCCAACGTTCCAGATTGATTTTGGGCCGATCTGACGATCATAGATGTTCGGTAGTATTTGAATTTTAGTGTTTTTTCTACAAATTCAAATCATTTGAACTTTTAAGCATGTGTTCATAACAAATAGGTGAATATTTTAAAAATATCAAAAAAAATATTTTACATGAAAAAAATTGACCAAAATACCCCCAAATTTGTTTTGGGGAGTTATTTTGGTTATTGGTTTTTTTGCAGATATTTTTATTTTATATTTTTATTAGGTGCGCCTTGATGAAAAGAACACATAACTAGAATTTCAAATTATTTGGATCTATAAATAAATAAATAAAATTCAAGCACTACTAGACATCTGTAATCGTCAGATCGACCTAGATTCAATCTGGACTATTGAGCTCATATATTCATATGAGCTAGTGGGCTAATCCCATCTTTTCTCATTAAATAAAGTAATATATAATGAGAAGATGAAAGAGACGTACCTGATTGCAAGAAGACAAACCGGTAGATACAGAAAAAATACATCCAAAAATTTAGATATAAAAAAACTGGATTGTATTTTTTGATAGAGTGGCAATAACTAATAGAATAAAAATGCAGTTCAAAGACATCCATTCCACCACCGTATTAACAATTTCAAAAACCTAACCTATTTGAAGAAAACGGGTAAGGGACTGTCTTCTTCACTGAATTACCCCAATATATATATATATATATATATATATAG